CCCCCCCTCATCCGCAGTGATTATTATAATCTGATCTATAGACATCTCCTCTGCCAACCCCCTTATTCTTCACTCCCATCCCAAAAATGCTAATCACGCGATCCATTTCTTTTTTATTCGCCTCGTTTTCTCCTATTTATTATTTATATAAAGATTATATGTTATATACTAGAGATTATTAGATTATATTATGTATATCGCTATATCATATTTTACCGATTCTTGTTACCGCGCGAATCGCGATGGCTTTTTTACTTGATCATTGTTGAATCTCGTGTAAGATAAATAATGCGTTACCGTGTATAGCCGCATCCCGCGAGGTCTTTTTGTATAACGAATTAACGTGTACAACGTTTATTAAGAAGTAAATATTGCGAAGGATTAGAAAAAGAAAAAAAAATGTATAAGCTGTACATCCGCCTTTCGTCACTACTACTGCATTTACGGTTCACGGAAACACCTGCGTTCCCATTTTTTTATCATTCTTTTTTCTTTTGTCCGTTTGTCTCTTATTTAACGTTAGTTTATCTCACAAGTACATCGATAGGCTGCATTCCATTTCCTTATGCGTAAACAATATATAATAACCAAAGAAACACCGTACTTATCCGCTGAAGTTTTATGAGTTCTCTCGAAAAAAGCTGTTTAAAGAGTAATACTCGAAAGTAAAACATTCTGTTAGTAACAGACTGTTACGCTTATATTGAGGAAATAAATAATTTTAGGAAATAACAAAGAGAAACCAATAGATAAAGAAAATAATGGTTAATGTCGGGAAGGGAAACGAATGAGATCTTAATTGATTAATGATATATACCTTTAATATCACTTTCCTTTTATTGTATATAAATACCGGCAATTATTTGTACAGTGTCTTGTCGATAAGATAGAAAAGGGAAGAAAGAAGATAGTAAAAGAAAAACGGACTCGGAATTTCCATCAAAGATCAATTCTTGGAATGGAAATTCGATATACCGAGTGTCCAAAAATATCCGAGACACTTATCACTCGTGCGGTATGTTAATAATTACAGGTAAAATATCACAAGGGTTAACATTTTATAAACCCCGAGGGCTATAAATGGAGCTTAGGGCTAGCAGTGTGTATCATATATAAAAAATTGGACTAATGAAAAACAAAAATAGATGACGAATATCGTCATACGTATAAAATCGTCCTTACGTAGTTAAAAAATAAGGCGCATTATATTTATAGAAGAAAAGAACCGTTTCTGGTTAATAACGAAATCCGGCATATAAGTATGTTCAGCTTAGTCTCTCTATTGCGTATGGAAAATCAGATTATTGTCATTAGACTAATTTCTGAATTCTGCTTTAGACGCTATATCTATATTCCCTATTTACAAGATTTACAGGATGGTCGATCACATTAATACTGGTTTAGAATATATGCTTATAAATTATACGAACGTAGCTCAAGTTGAATGAACATGATTGATCAATCTCGTCAGGCCGTAATGACGGAGTAGATAAATTTCTTTGGTTCGATGATCATTTGCGCAGGCTGTCTTGATAATATTCTAGAAAATAGAGAAGATAAAGAAAATTCGTTTACCCCGTCTCTACGTATCTATAATCTTGATGACGTAACGGTGATGATACCACATGAACACGTCCTTGCTGTGAGGAACATCATCTGCCAATCTGGATCCATCAGAATCTGCGACCCTCTAGGTGAGAAGGTCAACTGTTTCTGGTAACTCTTTGATTCTTCCTAGACTTTCAACTTTCCTTATTAGTGTTGATACCGTATAAATTAATACGATATTTAAAGATTTTTATCAACAGTTATCAACGAATGAGGCTGTTGATCCACTGGCGATTTCTGCATACTCCTGCCTACTGGCTGAACAAAGTTTACTGGTAAAATCCGCTTCTCTCTTCCTACGGATAATGAATTGTTTAAAAGTAATGTGTAATTTCATAGAATATTTTTCAACTCATTAGTTACACTTACCCTCTGCCAGGTAATTCCATCATGTCTACGACTACATTGTTAACGTACAGTCTATCGTTACACCAGAAGAAGCAGAGAGATCTAGGCTGCAATACATCCATATCGTAGGCCCATGATAATTCTACTCGTCTGATCTTACCAATTTCACCACCAGATCCTGCTGTATTGGCTACGACCATCCTGACCGTAGTACCATGTTCTAGCTTCATATATCCACTGTTAGAATATTTTAGATATTTATCTTTTTGAGATAATTTTGTCAGAGTATTAAGATTGATTATGTACCTGGGTGTAAGATCCATGTTACGAATTACACCGTTATCCGCATGTAAGGTCACTTTCATAAAGCCCTGTACCCAGCTTTCTGCTGTGGGTGGACGAGCTAGATCAATTGTAATCCTATAATGCATTCCTGTACAAAGAATATAAATATTAAATTTTTTATAATTAGGGGTAGTTGGATAGAGGATATTACATGAGTATGTTAATTACTAACTGCAATAAGGATCTTCTTTGCCAGTAGTAAAGAAAAATCTAGATCCCAACAATGCAGATGCATCCTGACCCATTGCTTGTCTCCTGATTAAAGCAGGACTGGTATCAGCATGGTAACCCATAACACCACAGCTCAGGCTATTGTTACTCTTGCAAGAGAAACATTCTCCTCGGAGGAAGCTGTTGTAACTCCCACATTCATGTGCAATGTACTGACACTTTGAGTTGATGCTCTCGATGAAGAGTTTAATAGCACGCACATGATTACATGCTACGAGAACTCTAGACGCTTCTTCAAGACCCTCACGTATCAGGGTCAATGGTAACGATGGAGTGGTCTCACTGAGATCAGTACAACCAGGCTGTTCCTTGCCATTGTTAGGATAGAAGTCTAAGTGACCGCAAGGCTGGCTCATCCCATAACCTGGAATTCCTTACGTGACACTTATTTATTCCCAACTTTAATTGTCACATTATAATTCAGGTTATCACATATTCTTTCCTATTCACTTTCTCCTTACCTAAGAAGAAGATGCTCTTCCCATCGGTATGGATGACATCAACTAACTGTGCATCTGTATAATCAAGACGCAGGTGACTTGGCATCCCCTGGAAGTATGGCTCTGCAGGATCAAGCCCAGTTATCCTGCCTATATTTCCTTCAAGTTTTTCACCTGCGTATCCTGCTGTATGTGCACCAAGACTATGTCCAATGAGGTGAACATCGCTGGTATCCAAACCATAGTTCATCTACATGAAATTTTATCCATTTAGAATTCATTACCTAATGAGAATTTTATGTTTTTGACTACGTAATCAAGAGAATACTGAAACTTTACCTGAAGATGTGTGATGAGATGAGCTATCTCCAGACCCACCAATCGTGTATTAGCTGTAGCTTGAGTATAAAGAGGAAGACTACCTCCAGCCCAATCGACGATGATCACGTTGTAGTCATCATGCTTCAGCAACTCGTTTCTCATTTCCTACCCGAGAAGTTTTTAAACGTTACGTACCAAGAATAATGTATTCTTTTGTTCTTAAGAGAGACTGTTTGTGAGATTGCTTGTAAGTAATCATTGTTACATTTAATACCGACGCTCTCTGTACTCATTTAATACTCGACCGGTGTTTTGTATTTTGCGGTAGAATAAAACGTTGATTTTTTGCACAATATATAAGAACTAAGATTGCATAAGAAAGTATTTATTCATTTTCCTTTGATATTTTAATTATTTAATTCGCATATCAATAACATCGACGATTCACACGTCAAAAATTAAGTTTTTCAAAATTTATTTATTCCGCGAATATCAAAGACTTTTTAAATAACTCAATATTATTAAAACTTGTTCCTGACTTATTATTTATGTATGGATGGGTGATCCGTGTTATGCATCGTATGGAATAATATAAGAAAAAAAGCACTCACCTTAACCCAGTTGCTGAGTGGCGTGTCTATAAATCCGTGTATAATAAACTTTGTCTTTCTCTTGGGATCGAAGTTCGATCGTTTAATGGATTTATCTTTAGCTACTATTAAGACTTGGCCCTGAAAAGAATAAGAATGAGATCAACAGCCGCTCTTGACTCACATTAGCCATATTAGCACAACTATTTAAATGGACTCCATAAAAGTTCGATGACATACGATATATGTATGTATGTATGTGCATATACATAAAAAAAATAGTTTCGCCACAAAGCCGGAATCTGACAGGAATAAAAGCGGAAATAATCAAACGGATATCCGTTAATAAACTCATTGTCCGCATCTGGCGACAATTAAAATGTTCACGTATCCAAACAACGTATGTACATCACGAAATGATCTAACTTCCTAATAAATGAATGGTGCGATTTGCATTACGTTTTCGTAAAACTGTAATTAATCGTACATTTCGTTTGCTGCAACATTTTTCTCTCATTTACTGATCAACTCTCAAGATTCATAGAACATTAACTCCATGTTCAGTTTTTCATCTTTTTTTCTTCTCAAAATTCCAAAATCAGTATTACAGGTTTCCTACTATTTTTATATTTTTAAATTAACTTACTTCAGTGGGATTTTCCTTGGTATAGAGGATGAATCTCGTGTTGATGATTTTACGAGGAAGAGGGAAAACATTAAATGGCCTGTGGATGAGATGGTACCAGTTTCTGGTGATGTTGAGACATCCAAGCTCCTCGTAACAGCGCGTTTCATTTTCAACTGGAATATCATTGAGTTTTTATGATTCGTTATCTATGATAGGTATAATGAATTATTTCATTATAATTTTTATTTAATAAAATAATTATTTACAAGGTAACCAGGGTATATTGACTTCGATTCGGTCACTTCTTGCCCATTGCCAAGGATCGAGAATTCCAGCTGAACAGATAACAGGAGCCAATACTATGAGGAGGAGCAGTATCAGGACACCCTCGCCCTCAGCGACTCCGTGCTTCTTCACGTTGCTCCTTCTCATCCTGGGCCAATAAAATGTCAGTCATTCACTGAGAACGATAAAAATGTATAATTAAATAATATAAAGTTGCAACCAAATTCTAAATCGCACTATGAAGAATGAAAATCAAACTTAACAATCTTCACGCGCGCGCGCGCGTGTGTAATTAACGTGTTTAATATCCAACGATATTTATTTAACGAGATTGCCACAGATTTTATTTTTAAATTATAAGTGAAAGTTTGTTTTTACCATTGATGAAAATATCAATAACCATTGTAAATTGTGTTCCGGCTAATTAATTAAACTCGGCGTTACAGGTCGCATGGATTTAAGACATCAGCCAATTACTCTAAAAGAAGAATCACGTTTCTTCTTACTGTGTCTCTTCTTTCTTTCATTTATTCATTCATGTTAATTAAACAATTTAATTACTTCTGACTTAAACGTTATAAATACCGGGTCTCGTTCAGTATACCGTACTTCGTACGTACTTGCACGCAAAATCGAAAGTGACTGTCACAAAATAATTCCAAACGGTGGCAGATAGCTTGTCGCTCGAACGCTATCCAGTCAATCGTATCGATGCCTTGTTGCTCGGTAGGAATGAATGGCTATGATTAGGACTATGGATTAAAAATGTAAACGGCTAACTGACTGACTGAGAGACAGTTGAACTTGCTATAGTAATAATTGAAGTCCAAGTGCGCGCGTTCTGTGATCGTAGGAACAGCAGTCCCTCGCACGTGGACGTACAGTCCAGAGAAGAAATAGCGACTAAGTGCTCGAAAGTGGATGGTCGATGAATTTGAGAGAGTCATCGGGTATGAGGTGGGGATTATATTGTATAATAACGACCTCGGAAGACCTTACCATTGGTCAGGGGTCCAGATATCTTATTTACTTTCGAATTTGGAGGCTGTGTAACGATCAATAACAGTCCCATATGATTGCCTTGAGAAGTCAATGTCCTTAGGAACATAGAATCTGGATGCAGTATTATTATGTTATTAACTATGACAAGGTCGCAAAGATGTTAGAAAGATTCCTGAATGAAAGTCCTGGTGCAAGGTCAGGACGATGCAAGGATTTTGATGATTCTGTGAAAGGTTATCCAGTCGTTAGTCACGTATATTAGTTTGAAAATGTACAGCTTTCGCGCCCTTTCTTTCATAGATGTTTCTGCACCTTTTTTAATTTAGTTACTAGACTTGCCGTCTTTTCATTAGTGGCCAGCCATTGTGTCCTTGTATCTACCTACGTCAATCGCATATACATTACCTGGACAGTAAATTTTTCTCTTTTTTTATGTCGCCATTAATCAGCTAGGAGAGTGTCTCTATGGAAACAGGATTCATTATGCTAGACGGTGAAAACAAATTTCGCGGTGAAGCTATGAGTGTAACCTTGAGTAAGTAATGGTACTTGCTGGTGTGATAGAATGAAAGTGAAACGGCACGGTTGGAATGATTCTTCATAAAAATGACGATTAGACGGTCATCCTCGTGTCTTGGGAGAAGTGGAAGAGGATAATAGTTCGTCCTTCGTGCAGGATCAATCGAGGTAAACACGAATATTTTTATGCATGAAACTATAGACATGTTGGTTAGTAGGCAAGAGTGTATTTAACCTTAAACAGTATCGTCATACATAGCAGAAATGTTCTATAATCTTTCAAATTTATTACGTCAACTAGCCGTTGTGAGTGGATTTAAGGTGCGTCCTGCAAAGTTTATGTTAATATTATTCTCATATAGACCAATCAGTGGTTGTGTTGATTTGCTCCCTTCCGTGTTTCGTCTAGTTGCCCAATCTGCTATTTTATCGAAATGTGATAGGTTAAATAATGACACTTGATGAATTCCCATAAGCTGACTGTTATTTTAATTTCTGTCTTTATAATTTTATTCCATTGACTAAATATATACGCAGCATTTTCAGACATCGAGTATTTGCATGTTGCTTGTAGTGTCCGTTCGTGCATCATAGTGAAAAGGTAGATCGTTGCAATAATTGCGTCATTAGGTAGATTACTGAATATTCAAATCTTGTTAATGCTAAGTGTCAGCTATTGGTTTTTGTCTAGAGTTCTAAGTGGTACATTTCGATTAGGCAACGATGACCCAAGGGATGTAAATTTTTTAGCTACATATCGGCGGGTTTCACTTTCTTTGTATTTTGCCACTCTAGTGAATACATTTCTGCGCATGCGTAGACCCGTTTTTTACACGTACAGATATTCCGGCTCGAAGATGACAACTTGCACTGAAAATATTCTACTTCTCGAAAATGTATTCGTTGCTTGATAAATAACCAAGCGAATCAAGGTCCTTCTTGGAAAACTTGAAACCATCATTAACTTTAATTATCTTTATAATGTTATTAAATTATGAGGACATATTCGTTTAGAATTATACGGTGGAATGAAGAAACCACAAGAGACGACGTTTGCGAAAAGAATTTCATACGTATAATTGAAGGTACGATAATTGAATTTATAAGGTCTGATTATCATTTTTCTGTCATACTCTATAGCATAAATAACCGTTATATGGTAAATGTTTCACAGTTTCATAGGATAGTTTAACGGGCACTTGCGAAGTCAATACAATGCTAGTCATTACCATAATTTATCGCTTTGTATATGAAAAGTGTACTCAATCGTGTAATAGTGATTATAAGAACAAAAAAAGAAAAGGCAGGTTAATAAATATGCTTAACCAGATAGCAGAAAAAACAGATTCAACGAAAGTGCGGAAGTCAAATTCGCGACTAAATTATTCAATGACGTAATTGACTGTATAACGAATCTTACGGGATCCGCCATTACCGCTACACGTATCCTCGCGCAATATCGCGCTAGAACAACAACAGTTCGTGACACGAGTGATCAAGGTTTCTTGACTCTTTTCGTATCGTTTTTTTTTTCGTCAGGCTATAAGTGGGTTACAAGTATGATACGTTGACAAAGGAGCAGCTCGGGCGCTATTTTCATTCGACAAATTCTCACCGCAGTTACCATCCATGGTGTCATGTTTGGTTGCGTTGCTTCGCGTGGAGCAATCTCATTTGAACATTCTGGCTTCTCTCTGGCAACGTTATGCAACCAAGGTGTTGTCATTCGAGAGCAACGTGCCTCGTTCATGCTTCAAGTTATGTCATTGCCGATATAACCTGAGGATTTGCGAATCGTATATATAAACATTCATGCCATGGAATTTGACACGGGAGACATGACTACCATGATTATCCCAAGCCTGGAGAGAGATTCGGATAAAAGTGAATACTTTCATATTTATTTCTTTTTATACCATTTTCCTTTTACATACTCATTCTTTGCAGGCTTCACAATGAATCCAGTCTTTGTATGTAGTACGGAATTTGAATCGGACGCAAATCCAGTCGCAGGAATGCGCTTCTTTTAGAAAGTCTTGGCAGTTCAAGATGCAAAAAACTGGTCGGCCACTTCGTGCAAGGACATTTTTATTGAAGTGCCAATGGTGAGTTGGGTGTTAGCGTTTATATGTCTTTTTACTCCATGTATTTGGAATATAATGTTTTAGAAGGCACAGCAGTCTTCCACTTTTGTCACCCTCTTGACATGGTGAATGGCCATTTCGATGGATCAGGGAAATCGCAAGAAAAGCAGACACCGCCTACTGCGAGACAAATTGAATTAATGACAATACCGGTAAGAACGTTTCCGAGAGGCCACTGTCAAATTTTTTTTCTTGAAGCCTTGTACAAATTTCTCCATTCTTTCAGAATTCAGTCAGCAAGGCGACGAGAGGCTTGACATTCAAGATTTCAAGAATTCGGAAGAAAAAAGAAGTCGGACAAATGTCAAGCTTGTCAGTCATTATCATGGCACGTGTTAAATCCTGATTTTTGGCCGCATCTTTATTTAGGCGTTACCAAATTTAGTAAACGGTACATATCTGTGTCTACTGGAATTATATTATCAGTTTGAAGGTATCTTTCAACGTTGGAAAACCAGATCCCCCATTAATCGGATTCGATCGTCACGAAGAACTTATTCCACAGATCGGTCACATGATGACCGATTCTGGCCGATAAGGAATCCGATTATCCGAGTTATCCGCCGTGTATGACTAGTCTATTCTATTTGTGGAGGTACTTTTAGGTGTCGTATAGTGAACAATAAAGAGCAGAAGTAAAAAAACGAAAGAAAGAAAGCAAATTTTAAATGAAAACTGTCACTAGCTCTACAATAGTCTCCACGTACGCACAAGAAATAAAATTAATGTCGTTTCTCCATGGGGAATGTCGCTCGCTGATAAACCTGCCCTTTTGCATTTCACGAATGCAGCTGCCCTAACGCCAATGTAAAAAGAAGAATACACAAATATGTATTAACACTGAAAACCTCCAAAGTCCCAATCACTTTTTGCGATATCTTCAAAGAAAAATTCGATTATATTAACGCAAGACGTGTGTACAAGTGAAAAAAAAATCAAAACTCTACATCAATAAATATGAATAAGCTACGCGGATATGTTTGTCTAAATAATTGTCTTGAAATTACAGAAGGACCAGATAGAACCAGAATCGGAAAGTCGTTCTGCAGGTGACCGCAGATTGCGCAGGTCTGTCCGAATAAGTAGAGTAGCAAGTAAGAGCATTTCACTGTGCAGTAAGAGGACAGTACAAAAATTAGCTTCGGGCGAGCTCGGGTGTTTACGGGTATTAAATAATTATTATTTCGAAAGCAAGAGTGTTTAACCTATACATCTATAGAAGGATCGACGAGATTGTGGCCCAGATCCGACGTCCTTCCCCACGGCAATGCTACGCCACTTCCTGTACAGACGTCGCGACGTGATCGTATACATAAAGGAATGTGCAGGCGCACGAAGAAAGTGGACTCGAATGAACGGATGAGAAAGTAGACACAGGTTAGGGTATCCCAAACTCTCAGGTATTATACGTGTGGTGTGTGTCTGTATATATACATATAATTTTTCGTATTGTACAAAACAAAATATTCGATCACTCTTGCTGTTAGTTTGTTTTGATCGATACTCGATCGACACGATGTAAAAGTAATCGATGGACCAATCATAATTCTGCAAGTTGCAGTTACATATGAAAGTCTATCATTGTCAATCGATTGACAAGCTGAGCTTTGACACGCGAGTGTACGGATAAAGTGGCCACCATGCGTATGAACGTGTCTATCCAATTTACCTGCTTTCAAGAAATTCTAGATTGCATCGACGCTAATGCGGAATTGATCAGTAACTTTCTGTATTACTGAAATCATAGTATTTATGATGTTAATGTCTAACATTAAGTATGCGGTACCCTGTGATTCATACACCGTTACTAATTCTATAGGAAGTGGACGAACATATACAAAGCAAACTCATCCTGAAGAGACTGCGGAGAGATTTGAATAATGTAAATAAAAACTTTCGATTCATCTTACGTTCTGTCATAATAAATATCAAGAAGTTTATCGTCCAGGCTCGTTATCCACGTTATCTATTCGATATTAAAACTATGAGAATCCCCGCATGATTGACGAGCAATAATATATGCTGGTGGAACAGGCAGACTTTATATATTTGTAATAAAATTATAATAAAAGGAAAGAAATAAGTCATCATATTGACCACATGATTTACAGATACAATATAATCTATAGTGTCTCTATGGTTACTGTTTGTTTGTTAGTACAGAGGAATTGCTGAGAGTCTACTGGAGTGGGGACTTGATTTAGCTGTAATAGCCATACCTTTTGGTCCATCACGCGAAAGGTGACTTATGCGCGAAATAACAAACTCTTCATCATCATGACCTAATCCAATCTCGATCTCGGAAAGAGAAATGCTTCCTAGGCGCCGTTTCTTCCGATCTGTATTTACGATTACATAAGGACACCTTTCTCCCGTATTTTTCTTTGCCGCGAAGCGAACATGACGTTGCGCAAGGATCCTACGAATTCGCTGAGTTCAGAATAAATTTCACTCGGTACGATTACGCCGCGTTTCTTTTTTTTGTACTTTCTTTCTCCTTTTTTCCCTTCCCATAACTCGCACTTCTACCTTTGTACGCACAATTTGACTAAATGCGTATCTTCTAACGCTGTATGGTCAACAGAAGCGTAACGGTCTTACTCGAATTTAAAATGAGGTGGATCGTTATTTTTTTATGGTAAAATTTTTTTAACCCAATTGCTTCTTAAATTCTACTTTTTTTCTTTGTATCGTATCAGTTAATACTTTGAGGTTATGTGAAAACATTTGTAACGTACGTAATGCACTAGGCATCGTAATAACGACTCGTTACGTCGTTACGTCTCGACGAAAAAATCTCGTCCAATTGGAAACAGGTTTAACCACATAAATTTCACTGTTGGACCGTATAATGGCCTACCCACTTATTCCCTGACATGTCTTCACAGGCTAATAAATCCATTTTGCATCGTCAAGAATTTTTTTATTCCTTTGCTTACAAAAATATGAAAACAAAGGACAATACGTAGTCGGGTACGCGTAAAATTTAGTCATCCGCTACAGCCGGTTTTTTTTGTAAACTAGAATCTAAATAACAAACTGACTAACCGACCGAATGAGTTCAGCAGCGGGTAACTGACTGACGTCAGGTAAGGATCCAAAATGACGTCTAGAACTTTCAGTTAGAGAGTGACAATTCTCGAAGAAAGTACGTGTGGCAATCTTACGGTATCGCATTTAGACAAACTTAGGACTCGTACTCTATTTGCAATAATTGTATTTACTTCCTGTTTTACGTTTCTCATCATTTTCTCTATGAAAATACCCCTCGAGCCACATGGCGTATTCTCGTCATGCAATAATCCTACAATAACTATCTACAGATATATATACGTACATGCCGAGCCTGATACATCAGTACACCTCATGTTACCTGAAATCGTGAAAACCGAACGCGTAAACCTTGCAATTATCATTGTTACGTAACCCCTGCATTCTTGCAATCGAAATTACTTCCCATTCCGAGTCACTGAACCCGGAACGACTCAGCGTCACCGTCCAAGGAAGATTTGGAGGTTAACATTTTTTTTTATAAAATCTAGTATCTTAAACCAATAACATTTTTTTTATGAACTGTTAAACGGCTTTTTTGACCATTATTATTATTGTTGTTTTTTAAGTGGGACACATGTAAAAATCGGCATACTTTGACAGGTATGTCTTAACCAAGGATTTCACGTGAGGTGCGATGTTTGAATATTGAGGAATCATAAAATAGGAAACACAACATATGATACAAATAGGTTAATGCATATGTGACTTTCCAATGTTCGGCCTTTACACTAACCCACATATCTCGAATTACTGAGAATATCGTAGATGGACATGCGGTACAGTAAAAATCATGCTAAATTGACAAATGCCGAATATGTATGTACAGCCGGCCAATTTAATTTGACGCGTCAATATATGTACGTAGTATGTGGCACGTAATCATATACCAATATAAGTACCACATATGACCGAGTATTTCACATCGTCTGTCCAATTCAAAATTTCCGCTACACACATGTCCGATTTTGGATCTGGCAATTTTGAAAAATCTTTACAATAAAAGAAAACTATGTTTTCCTACGCGTGGCTTCGAGCATGTCTGTACATACGACCCACTCATCCATGTAATCATACGTGGATGTATGAAGACTCGAGAACTTCTTTGCCCGCGGACTCGAAAGTTCTTGCTAGTCAAACGGACTTGTTTCCTCGTTACACACGTTTATAACGTACAGGTTCTTTCATATTTGCTTTTTTTTTTGTTTAAGTCAATATTTCTCAACCACGGTCTGTTCATACGCACGTATCTCGTACTACGGAGCTATTTCAGTAGGTTATGTGATGCATATTGGGTACGCCGGCTACGAATAAATCTGACGTTTTGCCAGTGATGACCATTCCTGTGAATATGGCACTAATGGCACCGGAAATAGATTACCGTACATGGATGTCCAATTCGTATGGCGAAATCGGTTTTATTTTCCTGGTTTGGAATCACGCCAAGAATTTCTGTTGACGGAACAAAAGATTGTGGTGGTCAATAAAGTAATCTTACAACGGCACCCCGGCGTAGAGTAGGAAGCGATGAACGGGTTATCGTATTGAAGGCTTAGCGTCTGTAATCGATAATTTATTCGTTCGATCAATACAATGGATACGCGAAGTCTTTAAAGAGTCTATGGGTAAGGACGTAAGTACGTTTCAACGTCAATTCGAAAGTTTATTTAATATTACAAGATTATTAGTAACGATCGTTTAGATTACTAAGTTTACTTTATTATCGCCTGGGAACTCTGAGGTTTTTATTATTTTATTGCTAAAAAAAATTTTACAACTTTGCACGTGTATTGGCGGATAATAATTTTCTTAGTGAATATCGCCCCAAGTCCGAGCTATGTAATTTATGCACTAATCCACCTTTTCCTGTTACAGTGCATTAGAACCTGGACCTATCCTCGTGTAATGTATGCACGCTGCACGGACACATTGAAGAACATACGTGGAGCAGTAAGTTTCGCCGTGCACTCTTATGTGAAAATAATTGCTAGGATCTAATGTGTATGTATATAAACATTTTATTAATCCCCAGAGCGCATGCGGAAACGAGAACCCAGTCAAGATCTCACATTGAATGGAATTAAACTTCCTTAGTCAAGGATAGAAGATGCAGATGCTGCGAAAGCTAAGATTTCTACGGTTTTGCAGTGAGTAATGGGTTATATGGCGTTTATCTTCTTGCCTGTCTATATATATTTTTTATATCGCTCTCCGCCATTTATTATCGTACACGTTAATATCCCTTATCCCTGTAATCTGCCCTAGGCTACGCCGAGGTTAACCACGTGGAATTCAATGGCTGGACGTCTTCCGTGTGGAAGTGAATTTTCCTTTCGAAGCAACGATACCATCTTGGACACGCGTCGAGCAGATGGTTTAATGAAGAAAGTGCGAGGATTAATCAGCTCGGAAGAATCAAACCGCGACGGATTCACGAAATTGTTTTTTTTTTTTCATTTTCTATAACAACAATGTAGTTGGAATCTACGTACCGTACTGAATTAATGGTAATTTATATTTAATGAGATCATTTAATTGTGGGTTGGGATACCGAGGAACATCGGTTATCTATTTCTTATGTATCTTTATCTGTTCCCTTTAATAGGATTTTAATAGAATCGCGCGATATCATTGAATAGCCTTTTTAATAGTCCATGTTAAATTGAGGTTATATCAAATAGTATTGTATATCGTACCTACGTATACAGTGTGTTTACTACAGCGTGGTATTAGCACGTAACTTTAACTGGCCCTGACAATCGTTATTATTGATTAGATCTGTCTCACGTCATTGCACAAACTAAATGCTTCCCAGTTGGACAGCTCTTTTCATCTCGAGAGAACGGATGCAAGTGCAAGGTGTCGTGCCGGTTAATTCACGAAAAAGTATCAGGGAACAGGCAGGGAGACAGCAAGAAAAACAGACCTAATATATATATATATATATATATATATATATATATATATATATATGTGTAAACATAAAAATACATAAGCGCACACGCCTATACGTAGGTGTAGCCTTGTTCGTTGAGAGAAAGCGCATTCATTCGCGCACATGCCTATAACGTATAAGCACCAATGTATATATAGTAATACAGCGCGTTCTATCAATGCGGAGTTGAAGGATTTCCAAAAAAAGTTTAAACTTAAGAGAAGCGTCGCGCAAACAATAAAGTGACTCGTAGGAGCACCGGAGAATATTAAGTGTTGTTCAAGATTCAAATGAAAAACTTACTTATCTGCAGACGTCACTCTCTCATCTCAGAGATGCACCTTTGCTCTTTATCGATAGCTCATAACCGCGCAAGGCTGTCACTATTCTTTTCGAGTGTCTTGTCGAGTTTAGGCGCGAAATTTAAAATTAGCTTCTCTGTTTTCGCGTGAAATTCACCACGCAGCGATGCTTTGGACTTGGTCTGCTCTTTTTCTCTTTCTTTTTCTTCGCTTCGCGTAGACTTCACGTTTTCAACGCGACTTGATGGCTGTTTCTGTGTACTGCTCAGGTACGCGAAGTCGTTATACTGGTAAACGTTTCGCGGTCAGCGGCCGGTGCTCGACTGAGTGCACGACGGATTCACTTGTTCTGGAATACTTACCCACCACTGCCTAGTCGTATAGTCTCGACTGGTACACGGTGTCTGCCGCTCTAGTCCGTACCACTTCTCCTAGATAGTAGTCTTAGTATTAGCTATGACTATTAGCGTGATACTAGTAGTGTAGTAGTCAGTATGCAGTACGCGGTATTGAATTGTGTTTACGTTGTCGCTTGAAATAAGTATTTTCAACGGAATTTTTTTTTTTTTTTTTTTTTTTTTTTTTTTTTTTTTTTTTTTTTTTTTTTTTTTTTTTTTTTTTTTTTTTTTTTTTTAGACTCATCAATTGTATAAGTCAACGAGGACGGTGCTCCAGGGAACGCTGCCCCAGGTACCTTGTTAATTATCCAATAATTTATTGTAAATTAATATCTGAATTTCCACGTATGATTAATAGTGACACAGTCGCTAATAGGACTTGGGTAATATCTATTGGGATAGACTTTACCTATCTGGGACTCTGTTGAATCCATGTGTCGTCATTCCTTAAGAACGTTTTTATGTCAAAACTATGGAATTTACTGGCAAATGAAAATGTCATGTAATTTAAGAATTTTCTCTTAGCGTTAAGAGCCGTGACTTGGTGTCTGGATGTTTCAGACTGATATTTTTTTTCTTTGCCAACTACCAACTATAAGTCTTCGTGAAATGTCTTCATGGGCGACAAAAAAGCTTTTATGAGAATTTTAATACTAAAGTGATTATATTCTTGGTCGTTTATCGATGAGAACTTTGTAAGCTGATGACAATATTATGCGTCCTTCATTATATTGAGATAAAATTAGATAATTTGTGAGAGATAAAATTAGAATTTATATCAAGGCATTTATAATAACTAGATACTACCTAACCTAACCCTATTCAATATACGTAACACTTACGTAACGCATGCGATTCACTATACGTATTACCAGTTGCTTGTTTTCCGTAACGTCGTTTCCGTCATTGCGATTTGGCATGAGTAAAGCGAGAGATACGTTATCGCGGAGAGAATTTAAATGATGCTTTCTGTTTTCCTCTTCCATGTAAACGTGAAGTGATTCACTTACGATTAACCGTTTTATTGTCTGTGACGCATATGTATATGTGCGAAAATAAATCGCGCGACTTCCTTAATGACGCATATATGTATATGGTCCCAATAAAAGGGCCCCCTTGTTATTTGTTACTGAATATCTCGCGGTTTCTCAATCTTCTTTCTTTACCATCTGTGCGTTCCCCGCCCCTCTACCATACCTTTCCGTTTCTTTCCTACTAGCCGGAGTCCTCTTAATTTTCTCGGGAGTTTCGTGTGTTACGTGACGCAATGTTGCGTCTGGCGCCCATTTGGCTTTTCCTATCGTAGGGATTTCCTCCTTGCGTTTTCCCGAGAAAACTTTAGAGTCTCGTCCCTCACATTTGTGGCGCAATCGGATCGTCTTGCTACGAGGCGGTTTGAGGGAGAAAAATAACGTCACAGTATATACGGATTTTGAAAAAAGTTTGTACTATTACGATTTGTTTCTGCTTTGGTATCTTAATGCATTGTAGGAATGTCAACACCGTATGAGTTTTATTACAATGCTATTAAGTCACGTGTTTCTATCACATAATTGAAGTAACAAAGTGAATGGTCACTGAAAACATTAGAAACATTCGCCAGTCGCATAGTAGGGAAAAAATAGTACTGAGTAAACAGTAGAAAAAGACAGAAAAATCCATAATGAAATTTTTATTTAATTCAAATGATCTAATCATCTGTTCCGTTTCGTAACTCCCATACAGACATATAAATGTAATTTATAAATTGATTTTTCTTAGAAACACAAAAATAAATATAAATTTAAAAGGAAAGTATATTCTTAAATGTAGAATGAAATTCATTTAGAAAGAAGTTGAGTCATTTAGGAATTTCGTAAGCTTTCTACCGTGATAATCATAGACGTGACACCAAAAGATTACCATGAGGAAAGAAGATTTCCTCCTCATTTGCACGCTTACAATCAGTTACATATTTAGTTCAACTCAAAAATCAAAGTAAATTTTCCTTTAAAATATATATTTTGCATTTAATTTGTTTTTATGAAATCTGTGGTTGAATGTATGTAAAATGATGTATGTAGAATGTATGTAGTATGAATGTATGAAGATAATTCGAAGTTATTTTATATTTTGAGATGTAATCAACGAAATTTTGTATTGGCTATACCATTGGTTGCTTGTACTTGACACAAGTCTCAACTACGTGTTGTAATCAGTGCAATCTGTTATCTAAAAAAGTAGTTGGAGGTACGAAGACGACGACAATGACTGAACTGAATTAAAATCATCTCCTTTGCTATTTCAATATGCCTTGATCTCGTACAGCAAGTGTATAGATCTTGGTGCCGATCGGTTCAGAACAGGAAACCTAAACACAGAAAACTATGCAGAGGGACACTTCAACACTCTGAACTTCCACATCTAACACCTAGATACAAGAAACTACGAAGCGTAACACCTGAACACCCTGGATATCCGATATCTAAATACAAGAAACTACGGAGAGGAACACCCGAACATTCTGAACTTTCACATTTAACACCTAGATGGAAAAAACTACGGAGCAGAACACCTGGACGCCCTGGACTTCCACGCCCAACACCTAGATACAAGAAACTACGGAGCGGAACACC